GAGTCAGTGGCAAAATGCTCTATTTCAGGAGGTGGAAGGTTAATGGCAATGTTATTTATACCTTAAGGAAACCATAACCCTCAAAATGCTCAGGAGGTGCTCAGGACATACTCAGTTAGGCCCGAAGGACATCCTGTTAAACAACACATGGGTAGGAGGTGTGGGCAGTGATGTCATAATGTCATTGGAGTTTGCACAGGGAATTTTTCAGTCCAGTTCTGAGAATTATTCAGAAGCAAAATGGGCTTAAGGCATTCATTTTGCATCTTAAAAATCCCACAGCAACAAAATTTCTCTATTTCAGGTGAGAGGTTAATGGCAACAATCGTACCAATTTTATATCTTAAGATAAATCATAACCCACAAAACTATGCCAGAAATCTTGAGATGCTCAAGACATGCCCTGTTAGGCTCATAGGACTTCCTAATACACAATATGTGGACTGTGGTTGCCCACCCCATCACAGAGAGGCAACTAGATGATGCCATCCGCTACAAAGGGGGTGAACAAGATATAAATTCAGAGTCATTCTCCAGTTATGCAATCCAGGACAAGTGCTCAAAAGTATCACCAAAAGAGTATTTCCTTGAAGACAAAATAGCAGAAATCAACTTTTTATACAAGCTTTTTAAGAACATTTGATCACCTGCAATCTTGTTACATTACAGCCCCTACTTTGATTGGACAGCCCTTTACCAGAGGACATCCCTAAAAAGCTTTGTTTTTTGATAACTCTTTAAGCAGAAGACTATCCTCTGAATGGGTATAAAATGAGTTCTGCCAGATTTGAGTGGCCTTCTCAGCAGCATGAGATATAGCATCAACCTCTGGGCTCCTCTGGGAAGAAGAGCAGTATGAAAATAAAATTCATCATCACCATCAAACTAAAATGCATCTTTCCCTGAACCAAAAATCTCCCCCAAAATTTATCTGAAAAGAAGATCATTAGTTAAAGTTATGCATAAAGAATAATACTGTAGCTATGTTTCAAAAAGGTCTTATGTTGTGGAAATTTATTGCAAGAAATGTCATGTCAAAGGATGAAAGCAGGGTAATTTTTATTTAAAAAAATAAATAATTACAAAGCAACGTAATTAACTGCTATATAAATTAGAAGATCCATACAAAAGACCTGTGTGTTAAGAAACAGAGTGAATGAATATTGCAAACTTTTCTTCCATTTTTTTCCTGAATCTGTTTAAAACTCACTGAACAAGAATAGTGTTCTACTAAAACACAGAAGCATTCACACATCATGCTAAGCCATAATGTGGTTTGTTTGATTTCGGCTTAGTATATTGTGTGAATCCATGCAACTGTGGCTTCAACAATCATGATTAAACCAACAGGAGTATTTTTGTTGGTCTCCATGCCCCAAGTTCACTATCAGCCTTTCAAAACAGAGAACAACTTCAAACACAGGAAACTCCTCTGACAATGCTTCTAATACAGGATTCTATCTCTGCAACATAGGTATCCAGTGTGGGGAGGGGAGGCAAAGGGGGGAATGAGTGATGAAATGTTTGCTATGACATAACGACATAAAAATGCAACTTACAGACCTGCATCATGATGTTAACAACGGTGAGTCATCATTCTGACATAATTTCATTTTGCTGCAGATGCCTGTGTTCTAAAACAGAGTGTCCAGCCACCCAAGAATGATGACAGAAATACATTTCCATAAAAATATCCCCAAGAGGAGTAGATAGCACATATAGTGAGCATTTCATCTTACCTCCCTACAGGTCCCAAGTCTCCCGAATCTTGACTTCCAGCTTCACTGGGCGTGCTCACTGATTTCGGAGAGGGAGACATAGGGGTTGGGACTAAATAATGAAAATAACAGGTATCCCATGTTAAAACATGCAATGATTGCACTGATGCAGAGCACTGTCAAGACAAATTGTAAGCAAAGATCCAAATAATAAAATGGTTGCATGATTGGAAGAATTTTACATGATGAAAAAAGGAGGAAAAAAGAAAGAAATCAGTGAATTCTAAATGTTTTTGCTAATTAAATTTGAGTGAAGTTTAAACTGGCCTGTGAACTATGATAATATCAGCACCCATTTTTTTATATTAAAAAAACTTCTAACAGTAAAGATTGATTCCAAGATTTTGGAATAGACAATTCAAAATATTGTTAAGCAAAGAACTAAGAAAACTTACAGTTTTCTAAGAAAACAATAACAAATATTAGACAAGAAATAAAAGATATGCTGGACATTTATTTGAACACTTGCAAAACAGAAGGGTTTACTGGATCTTTGGGGTTACTAACATTCATTAATGTTTTCCTCCATAGCCTTCTGCTCTGTTTGGTTGTTTATGGTAAATAATTCCAACAGATGCAAATTCATAGTGAGTTTTTTCTTTCTTTTTTTAGCCTCATCCAAACACCTTTGGCATTTTTCTGCCAGGACAATAAAAACATTACTCCTGGTCCTCTACAAAAATCTCAGACTTTCCTGGAAAAAAAGCCAAGGGAATTCCAGAGGGACTACTAGAGCTTTGTGATGTAATAATCCCCAAGCAACTTCTAACTTATGAAGCTAATGGGGAGAATTAGTTTTTTCCCCCCAGAGGTCTGCCCAGCAGGTGTTCTAAAATTGTTTGGCTAAAGCTTGTAATCACCATTTATTAAAGTTCCCCTGCACTGATCATGTATCTAACCAATTACTTTTAAATCTTTTCTAATATTCATGGAACCAAGATAAAAGTAACCAATACATATTTTAGTTTGGCATGTTTCTACAAAGACAGAGGTCCAAGAAAGACAGAGGTCCAGAGTTAATTCTGGACCAGTATAAGGACCACCTGCAGAAGTCCCAATAGGCAGGACTGGGGAAGATGAAAGAGATTCTCTTTTATATAAACTCATTTACCATACAAAGATCTTCATTAATTTCATTAGAAATCTCTGCTGATTTATTCTCTACCTTCTGAATGCAAAGACTTGTGACCTAAGATGATACTCTTTTTTCTACAAAGCCTTCAGATCAAGTATTTTTAAAAATAGGTATACTCTTTTAATTTGACCTTGACAGCTGGTGGGTTTTTGGGCAAGAATACACAAGCAATTTTCTTCCAGGATAGTATGATGTTGTTTTGTTTCTTGTTTCTTGCTTTTTGCTTCCCAATCTAACTTAAGCTCTGGGATTTCCTAGTGATCTCCCATCTGAGAATCAACCAGATTCATACCTACTCTGTTTTTTCAAGATCAGCCAAGGTCAGCTAGGTGCTGCCACCTGCTGTGGATGATCAAACATGAAGAATATAGATCAGTATTTGGACAGAATTATGGACTCAATCTTTTTTAAGAACTTGAATTGGAGCTTCAAAACTAATCTAACTGGAAGGAAGCAACTGACTGGGTCTCCTTGATGTGCAACACTAAAAATAAACCATCTTGCTCACAGGATTGTTTTCTATGATTTAGTTTAATAACCTCCAGTCTGGGAGGGAGAAAACTTTTTTTAGATCAGATATATGAATTAAAGCTAGACTACCACCTTTTTTTAAAATGAAAACTCTCAACCACATCTAATTTGGCAGCGAAGATCAAGACAAAACAGGTCCATTACAACCCACCTTCACACAGCCATAGTCAAAAATAGAACATTTGGCATTGGCTATTTCAGCATCATGTTTAAATGCATATTTCCTTTGATTTAGCAAACTGAATTTTTAACTCATTTTGCTAAACCATTCACATATGTTGGCAGAAATGCCAATCAACCTGTCTGGCCACAGTTTGAGTTCCAAAATCTTACACATATTCTCACCATGAACTGAAGTTCATTTTTCAGAATGAACTGAAAAAAATACAAAAGGCATTGGTTTTTCATGAAAACAGTTTGGCAGGGACAGGTGTGAAGGGACAATGAACATGGGTCATTACACATCAATTCTGCTTCTTAGTTTTAGCCATACTAGTAGGAGGTGGGTTCTAATTTGCAAAAATATCACCAAGGACAGTCATGACTTTAAAGCAGTGTTTCTCAAACTTGGCAACGTTGAGATGTGTGGACTTCAACTCCCAAAATACCCCAGCCAGCATGTATCCTGGGAATTGAAGTTCACACATCTTAAAGTTGCCAAGTTTGAGAAACACTGCTTTAAAGTCTGTGGAAGAATCAAGCTATTTAACAATACTGTCAGAGCCTTATTTTAGATTTTGCCCAGTGATGTCTGTGAGGGGGGAGGAGCAAGGGGACAAAATGATGAAACCCGTGTTGCAGCATCACAACACAAACCCTATTCCTTCCTGTTTGTGCGCTGTGATGTTGCATGCACACAAAAAGGGACACAGCTTGTGGCACAGTGCTGCAGCACTGTTTTCATCATCCTGAAAAACAGTCAAAAGCTGACGAGGGAAAATGTATATACCGAAAAAAAATCCCAAGTGAACTGACTAGTAAAGTCAGTTTTGTTTTATAATTTATGTATCATAAATTTGTTTTATAATTTATGTATTTAAAGAGAAGCCACTAATGTTGTGGTTGCGGCATATGAATGGAAACCATGCTGGCACAGAAAGCTGACATTCAGCAAGGAAAAGAGTGAGAATTGCTATCAACAAGCCATACAGGCAGTGTACATGATGTATACTCCAAATATATCTCATCACAGACACATACAAAACAATAAAGCAAAGCATGCAGTGGCCAGAATAATGCATGAATGTTACAGAAACTGAAAAATATTAATGGATCTATCGGAGTACCTAGAGGAGGTTCTGGGGAAATACCAATGCTTTGCAGTAAAGCTTCGGTCTCCCTTCTCTTGCGGTCTAGATCAGAATCTTCCTGTGCTGGTTCCTTCTTCTGCTGAAAATCTGCCTGAATTGACAGTAATGAAGAATTATTCAGAGAATTCAAATAAACAGAATGATTCGCAGACATATGGCAGCTTCTCTCCCAAGAGAAATAGCAAGTTCAACGATGGGATTTTCAGTGGGACTGCAGAGTAGGGGGGAAAGGTGCTTATCCTAACTGCTACCTCAGTACAACAAGTATTATTTTTAAAGGAACAAGACACATTAAAGGCATCTGTGTACTTAATGCACTGCAAAGAGAACAACCATTTCTGAATTAATCTCTCTTATATCCCCATAAAACATCATATATTCTGTAGATCAGTGTTTCTCAATCTCAGCAACTTTAAGATGTATGGATTTCAAGTCCCAGAATTCCCCACCCAGCATGCTGGCTAGGGAATTCTGGGACTTGAAGTCCACACATTTTAACATTACTAAGGTTGAAAAACACTGCTGTAGATGATAACCTTGAGCTTCTTGAAACTCTCAGTCAGAAGTATATTTGGCCCTTTTCTTCCCAGCTTTCAACTGGTCTGTGAAAAAGTAATAATTTGTTGGACACTTTCCAGTTACAATCTTAGCTCTTTTGCTCTGCCAATAGCTCTTTCTTATTGCTATTTTAATATATTCACACAATACCAATAAAATACCAAGCTAGCTACCAAACCAATCTAGATTTTATTTGTATTTTAAGACTGTAATTTTAACTTTTTACACTGCCTAGAGCTGGTGCACAGCTAGAAAAATGAGATAAACATGCTCCTAAATAAGAAGTATCTGGGAATGTAAGAAACTGTCCTGCAGTGTGTTGGAGCACTGGCCCATCTAGCTCAGTCCTGCATGCAGTACATTGACCAGAAGCAGTTCTCCAGGGTTTCGAATAGATGTATTTGTCCACCCAATCTTCAAATGGCCTATGGGATCCTTTAACTGCACAGCATGTAGGCAGGGTATATAGCATCTTCTAGAGTAATCTAATCATTGTTGTGCCTATATTGTATGAATTAGGTCAAGCTTTGTATCACTTCAACAATGGTTGGGTGATGCTAGAAGATCTTTAAGTCATTAATGATAAAACAGCTATAGCCAGACACTGAGCAAGATAATTCCCTTATTATCATACAAACACCATAATGTATGAATGAGACAAACATGTACATGAACGTCTGATACAAAGGTGCCACAGAACTGAAGCAAACTGTGCCTTCTTTCTACATGCACCTCTGCCTCCCATTTTCCTTCATATCTTTGCTGTTGACATATAATGCACAAACAATTCATGCACCAGGTGCATGAACTCATTCCCTGGAGACATATGTGGGAGATACAGTATATAGTACAGAAGCAAGACATTTGTCTACCAGACAAGCAGACATGCAGTTTGTTATCAAATTACTTTGTCTAGTTAGGGACTGGGGCGGCACATACATGTATCTCAGCTGCTTATGACTGAATACACACACACACACACACACCTACCTACCTATCTAAATCCACTGCAGGATGAAGGCCTCTTCATTGAAGTCATGGATTATAATCTACCATGCTTAGTATGAGTTAGTAAATAGATGATATTTGACTTTCCAGTCTATAGCTAGGAGATAGTGACTGGCCAATCCCTAAGGGAAGATCAGAACCTGGATCTCCTCACTTCTAGTCCGGCACCTTAACCAGTACACCACACTGGCTCTCATACATATGCATATATGCATATACGTATGCATTTACAGCCAGAATTATCAGGATGGGAGGGAACAGCAAAAACAAAACACAATCTGAAAAATCCATATCTTGTATCAAATCATATATCCCAATAATTTTTCGATACACATGTACAGTATTAAAGTGTCAGCTGAAAGCAAACCAATTATTAGAAAAGGGATAACAGGTATTTTATACTGCAGCAACTGTTGACATCTGAAAGAAAAGAAACATAATCATTTAACGCTTCCCTGAGTCTGCATGAAAATAAATTTCGCTGTCAATTCTCATCTCTATTTTGCTATGTGACTGAATTAAGAAAAAGAGAGAAGTATAAATTCCTTAATTAAAAATTCCCATGCACATTCTTAAGAGCATAGCAACCAATATGTCAACTAGACCTTATAAGAACAAGAGAGTATTCTAAAATCAGGAGGTTAAAATGCAACAGTGATTATCATTTATTTTTCTGAAGAACAGTAAGTGCAAATTTGCTATCTTAGCAACCAAACTAACCAGCCATGAAGTGCAACAGGGAGGTATAGATTGTAACTGAACTTTCAAATATGTAACTTTCATTCGTATACTGTATACACACAAACACACACATACCCCCACACTCACGTTTTAATTGTTCTCACATATAAATAATTCCATTTCAAGCCCCAACTATTTTGAAATCTATAAGAAATTCTTGTACTTATGCACCAATTATGGTCAATGGCAGTCTTATTCCCCTGTTTAATTAGGACCTAAAAGGCAAGAAAAAGAAGATAGATGTTTTTGAATTACAGATCTACAAATGGTGATTAAGAGTACTAAGTAATGAAAGAACAACCAAGAGGCCCTGAACCAAATTAAAACTGGCTGCTGTTTGACTTCACACCAGGCATGGTAATATATCTAAACTCTTAACCTTGCTTACAGCAGAAGTTCACAGAAAAGCCACAACTAAGAGTACTTGCTTTACTGCAGGTAAGATAGAAGCCAAATATATACAGAAGCCCATTTTATTGCAGATCACCAAAATCATGCCCTACAGATAAGTCTGTTCCACAATTTAAATGCTAGGCCTTTTTGTCTCACCTTTTCAGGTGAACAGAAATGTGGCCATATTATTCCAATCTTTGCAGTCGGAGGCATCTGCTGAATATTTGCATAATTGTTTTGTCTAGCCTGAGACATGCTTTGCCAGCTTCAACCCTTACACTTGCTCCCTTGTGGCAATTCTCAGCAAGCAGAAACCCACATACTTTGGGCATGGATGCAAGGTGATGGATTGGAAAAAAAAATGACTATGCTTAGCAAAGTTTAGGGAATTACAAGAAGGGGAACACAACATATACAATGGATGGAGAGCATCAAAGAGATGACATGATTGTCATTGTACCCAACCGCATTTCTTTTCCATTTTCTCTGTCATGCAAAAAATATAAATCCAAAAGAGACATAAATAGGAAGTAGGAACGATACCTTAACAGACATCACACACATTTACCTCTTTCTTTTTCCTTTCTTCTTCCTTCCGTTTCTTCTCCTCTCTTATTTGAGCCAGCCGCTGTTTTTTACGTTCTAGCTCTGCTTTTAAGTCACTCTTGTCTGACATGATGATTCACTGATTAAGAAGTAAAAACAGAAGATTCCAGTGTTGGGAACCAAGAAAAAAGATATAAAATAATTTTCTTTTACCTCCTTTGAAATAGTGATTGATTGATGGGCATCTAGAGAGGGGAAAGAGTTCTGATGTGGTTGGAAGAATCCCTTGATTCTGGTGACACTGGAAAATGGTAGCAAATGTACTTACAGAGTAACAGAGTAAATGCATTAACTAAATAGCAGGCTGATTTTAAAAGACAATTTGACATTTTCTCAGCAGCCCATATTTATATACTTTGCCTACTCAGATCCTGCAAAACCAAATACAATTTGCTTTAACAGCTATGATAGGGGTGTACAACTTTTTCTAGGTCAAGGATTAAAATGGCTTGGCCAGTGATTTGCAAGAGGCTTCCAAGAACATCCTCTAAAACAGAGTTTCTCAACCTTGGCAACTTTAAGATGTGTGAACTTCAACTCCCAGAATTCTCCAGATGGCTGGGGAATTCTGGGAGTTGAACTCTACTCATCTTAGTTGCTAAGGTTGAGAAACACTGCTCTAAAAGCTTAGGAAACTGAATTGCAGCCCTTGGCCTCTGAAAAATTGCTCAGCCCTACCTTACAAATACAATTTGCTTACCTTCTATTTAATCACTTTAATCAAAGTGGTCAATATCAACTCCCAAGGGTTGATGGGACTATCCATTGTTGTTGTTATTCATAGTACTATTAAAGTAGTATTTATTAAATTATTTTCCTATAATAAACGCTTTGGGGTCAATGAACAGTCTGAAACTTCTTGAAGGGGTTGATGAGCTGAAGAGTTTGGAGACCCCTGATTTAATCCGTTGATTTTAGCATCAGCTGTTGCTTTCCAATGAGCCATGTGTACCATTTCTGTTGCAAAATTCACAGAAGGATACAATCTGGAGAATAACCAATTTACAATCTGCATATCAATCTTGGAAGTGGAATTTAGATTGGTATGAGTATAAATGTGGGTGAACCATTCTTCAGCCATCCTGTTATAAGCAACTAATTGAAGCTAATTTTGGAAATACACAGTCCTTCTCAATCCACATTACCTCCCCTTGATTGATTGACTATTGATTGATTATGAGCCATCAAGTCAGTGCCGACTCATAGTGACCACATAGATAAATTTTCTCCATGATAAAATTCCCCCAACCCCTTATACTTTAACTGTAATTATATAAGCCAATCAGCATTACTTTAGCCATGAAGAATTGTGGTTTTGACTCACTTCTTTTTTTCCCTCAACCTGTGACTTGATACCCATTCCTATATGTTCTGGGTTTAAGAAAGAATCCAATTAGCCTTAGTTGTGATTACTGTAATATCACAATCACGACATTATTTAATGTTACATTAATGGAAAAAATAGGATTCAAGACAGAGAAAGGCTAAAGAGAATGAGTAATTTCAAGACTTCTAACAAGTAACAGCATTATTATTGATTTATGTCCAGCACAGCTGAGCAAAGATTCTATCAGAGGCGCAGAGAGCTTGGGGAAAGGGCCAATTATGCTTACTTTTTCACTCTGCAGCGTTGCTCAAATACCTAACAAAGCTTTGAAGCAATCAATGCACATGCTGCCAAAGGCTATTATCGAACAAGTCCAATTTAGTAGAGAACTTCTAATTTCTAGAATTTGGGGAGTTTGGTCACACCAGAAAAGTAATGCAGAGTACATGAGGGTGGATTAATTCAGAGAATCTGTTTTTTCCCCTCTTGTGACTAAGGGTACTTTTATACTAGGCTTTTATTGTGCAATTGTCATACCTTATTCATGGGAACCAAAGCACCTAAAAGTAAGACAAGAACCAGCAGGTGGAAGCTTCACAGGGAAAAGAGCCAAATCTGAAATTAGGAGGAATTTCCTGACTGTAAGAGCTATTAAGCAATGGAACAGCCTGCCTCCTGAAGCTGTGGGTGCTCCATCACTGAAAGTTTTCAAGAATTAGACAACCATTTGTCCAGGGTGGTCTAAGGATTCCTGCACTGGGCAGGGGGTTGGACTAAAAGACTCCAAGGTCCCTTCCAAGCCTATGAATCTATGATATTATTGGCTGTCCAGACAATACTATCTTCTACTTGTAGCTCCCCATGTTTTGTTATTACTTTTTCCATCTTTTGTCTCTCCCACAAACAAATCCACTGGTTTGAGAACAAAAAAGAGGTAGTCACACAAACACCACTTCCTCCTCCTCCCATTACTACTACATATACATTTTATTTTTATACCTCTCTTTCCCCCAGAAGATAAACAGCCATCTGTCTAGAAATGATCTAACTCAGATGTTGCTGAACTACAACTTCCAGCAAACCCAGCCAGGATAGGATGCTGGGAGTTGTTATTCAGCAGCAGCTGGCATTCCACAGGTTGCTTACTACCTACCATTTGAGTTATTGTCAAGTGCTCCTGATGAGAACTCAGCTCTAAATCACAGACCCCTGATTTACATGGCTTAATTAAATTGCTAGGCCTGAACTTGACAGAAGCCTTTCAGGCACTTGACACAGCACAGCTTGATAAAAATATCACAACTAGATTTAAGTGATATTAAACAGTTGATTATTCTCTGTCAGCATGAGGATGCAGCTCCTCTTTTATACCAACGGTGACTTATACTCATTGCTTTTTCTTCCCACTTCTTCCATTTTCCAACATACTCTCTGCCCTGCTCCTTATAGGCCCGAAGCTGAGCAATTATTGACTGTTGACAAAACTGACACCACTGCCCTGAGAACTGCTGACACTCACTTAAATATTTATGACACATAACTTGTTTTAAAATACGGCCTGTTTTTTGTACTTCGTTGATTATATGCAGCCCATCCCCATCCTGTCCAAGTTGGCTCATTATTTTATGACATTTGCATTGATTCTAGCAAAAGGATTTTACTAGGATCTCTTTCCTAGTAGGGATTTCTTAATTTATTCATGCATCAGCAAAACTACTTTGCTTTTTATGTCTCATTTTAATTTACTTTCAATATGTTACTAAGTTTTTAAAATGCTGAAACTGTAATAGAACTCTAAAATAAAAGGCATTTAAGTGCACATTAAAATATTATTTCCTTTAAAACACACTACCTTTTCTGATGCTGTATTATCCCTGCCTAGAATCCAACTCTCAGCCAATGTTCTAATTTGTCCTTAAGCACTTTAAAACATTTAAGGATATCACAGCAAGGTGATATAGTCCTTAAATGTATAGCATGGTTCAACAGAAATCAAATATTTGATTTTAAACTTGACCAAAAAGAACATATTTAAGTGAATTCTTCCTTTCCTACTTATAAGGATATAATGATACTGATCACTGAATGGTGGAAAAAGTCAATTGCAATTTGTGTAACTTATAGTGGAAGTGCAGTGTATTATGTGGTGTTAGGAACCAATAGTGTGGAAGGACCCAGAAATTAGCAAGTTAACATAATTGTTGAGCAGAAGCACAGAAGAAAAAGGAGGCAAAGCTAGTAGGTCTGAAACCCAGCACTTGTCCACTTTGTCTCAGTTCCCATAAAGAGCCTTGCCAGTATTTTTTCACTAGTAATAGCAGCAAGCAATATATGTATATTATAAAGAAAGCAAAGGTAGCTATATGGTCCATTAAAATATTCAAAAAAGGGGCAATCATTTTATTAGGTCAACTCAAAGGTTACTGAAAGTCATAGAAGTTTTTATGTTCTGTTTGTTTCAGAAAGTAGCTTTGAAGGGAAGAGGAAAAAAAGCAGAGGTATCCATGGGATGAGGGGGCTGAAAAAAGCAAGGTCACACTGCCACACAAGCTCAAACTCTTCTGTACTTGTGGCATGAGGCTGCTATGCATGGGGTGTGAGAGAAGCTTGCACACATTTAAATTCAGCTGTAACTCTTGATTTGGGATGGCTACAGAATGCTCATAAGATTGTGAACAAGCATTAATCTTCTGTTTTAAAAAACATAGCAAGTACAGCTGCTTCTTTTTCAGTGCTTCTTTTAAATGTTGCATTTTAATTGTTATGCTTTCATGATTTGTGGTTTCCTTACAGATTTTAGATGTTAGCCACCCAGTGGCTCCTATGTGGAAGGCATATAAATGATGCAAAATAAATAAAATATAACAAAATCATCCTGAAGATAAGCTTGGATATGTTTTCTGACCTTTGGGTGACCAGAAAAGTGCTGCTCTAATACAGAGAGTGAAATTATAATCAGAGTACTGTAGTCAATTCTTTGGTTTCTAGGACCGTGTTGCACACAGAAGAAGAACAATCAGTCCAGGGCTATGTTGCAAAATGAATAGGGTCTTGTCTCACATAGGGTAGCTTTTTCTGAGTTTTTTTCCCTTGAGATGGGGGGAAGGGGAGTGAGTATTTTTTTTAAAAAAGTTTATAATACAGTTCTTGTGTGTTCCCCATCTCAAATGGAGAGAAATATCCCATCGGTTTTTGGCAAGTGTGGTAGGAGGGAGCTCTGGGAGCCACATAAAAGAGATGTGAAATCAAGGACCATTGAGGTCCCAGTTTTCATACATCTCTTATAGAAAAAGACACATCGAACCTACAGTAAAACATTGCAGTACAGAGTCCACACGCATATTCTTTACTTCTCCACAAAAATCAGCTCTATTCTGCATGGATGGGACCATTTTGACTCTCCCACTTGAACGACTAGACTATAAAGGATAACAACTGAAATCAAACCTAGATTATTGCAACCTTTTTTCACTCCTACTGAACTTTTCCAATCCAACAGTTAGCTTTTTCATGTAGGTACTTGGAAGAAGATGCAAAAAATTAGCTGATTTTTCAAATGGAAGCAAAAAGCGACCAACATAAAGCAGGGTTGGAATGCGCATTCAAAGCGCTTAAACAAACCTCCTATGCAGAATTATCCAGACGCTGCATTTTTTATCTCATTAGTAAAGTCATCTGCTTTTCCCCATATACAAAAGTGGAAGGGAAATAATGGAACCACTCTCTCCTCAGCCATCTGAGCACAAATGCAAAATGACACCACTCTTCATGTCTTCCACATCCTGTCTTCATCAGCACAATTGTTTATAATTACATTTGAAAGAATTAGGGGCACCATTTGTGGATATCAGCCAAGTAGAAGAGTAGATAATTTCATTGTGTAAATGTTCTAGTGTTTCTAAAATTTTAGATAATATAATATTAAAAATTCAATCATTTCAATTGGTTGTTGATTTTTTTCCAAAGAACATTTAGTAAACTGCATCTAGCATCCTTTCATCACAGACTTTTTGATACAGAGGTAGAAATCAGGGCATGGCAATCTTTTTGCAACATGGGAGATATATGATTGATGCTAATTTTACCTTTCCCTGAAGTTCCCTCCCCCAACAATCACTTACCTCCCACCAATCCATACCTGCACAATATTTACAGGTAACTTGGCAAATTAACTGATCTTTGCTATGATAGCCTAAATGTATTATTTTATGCCTTCCCAATGTAGAAGAATTGAATGCACTGCCTCACCACTGAAAGCCTGTCTTATTAATGAAGGCACAGACAAAGATCCTACAAAGTTTAACATTAGGGGGGGAAGTCTCTTTTTTTTTTTGGTAAACATTTCTAAAATCCTATTTTTATTGAACACAATCAAAAGAAAACAAATTATAGTGATAGGCAGTATGAGCATAACAGTGAGAGAGGAAAAGGCATAACATAAAAAGGAGAGTCAATACCAAACCAGATTACATGAATGTCATGTCACATTTTGACTAAATTTGCACAAGATGCTAAACTGTAATGGGATGAGGCCCAGCATGGCTTATGAATTCAAACTGTGGATTAGATTAGGTTTAGGGACCAGTTTTGTAACCACAACTTAACATCCTGGTTTGTAACAGTTTTACTCATCTAAACCTCAATCAACTTGCCATTTGAAGAGGAGGATAATCTGTGACTAATTCTCCATTCTGGTTTCTGGACAGAGAGATAGAAAACTGCAGTGGCTGCAATCTGTGGCTGTTGTAGCCACCCTGATTTCACTGCTCCTGTCCATTTTTCATTTCCCACAGGTGAGCAGGAAGAAAAACGAGGACATAAAGGGGGTGTGAAGAGTCATGATAAACTCTTCTTGTTGTTTACAAAACTTAAAAAAAAAACCCTGCACCACCACAACAGTATTTTTATGGAATCCTCTTTAGGTTTTTTTTTCCTGTTAAGGATTTTTGATCCTTCTGAAAACCATAGAATTCTGCAAAATTGATGTCTCTCTCTTGTATACTGATAATGTTTTGCTGGAAAAAAATCAACCCAGGGATAAATTTCCCGTGCATAGACCAAGTCTGGGCTCGGGGATTCTGGAAGGTGCTAGGTTCCAGAAGGCTAATTCATGCAATGTAGAAAAAAATGTGTAGACATGGTATGAATAACATATCCAGCTGAGCGTAGCACAGGAAGGCTTAGAAGGTTTCAGTACCCTAATACTTGCACAGAAGGACCAAGTTTGCCACTGCCAGTTTCCCCCAATCATTTTTTTAAAATGTATCAGGTTACTTTTTTTCAGAATCATTGAATTTTTAGTATTGGAAGAGATACTAAAGATCATCTAGAACAACAACTGTCTTGACCCAGGGAACTTGCAAGTACAACATCTCTAACAGATGGTTGTCCAACTTCTGCTTTAATGCCTTCAGCAAATGAAAGCCAATTGCATATCTACAGCATCAGCTTCACTGTCAAACAGTTCTTAATTGTGATTGTAACATTTAGCTAAAATCTAGCTGACCAGTTCCAACCATTACCTCTAGCCTTATTCTGTAGAGCAACAGAAAAAGATCTCTTACCAATGATCAGTCTCCCCTTAATCTTCATCACAAAATATTAAAAGTCACTGGATGACATTCCAAATCTCCGAAAGGTACTTAAAAACCCCACTATATGCTCTAAATTCAAAAAGGTTCCATAATGAACTTTAAAAAGTGAAACAACTATGACGCTTAAATTCAAATAAAATGCATTATTCAAGTTAAGATAGAAACATTTTATAGGAAACTAATTATTAACATATTTTATTTAGTTTCCTAATCCTTAGGGGCTTGTGCATGCAAATGATAATTAATAAATCAATTAAAACTCCAACCTGTACCACTTACCTAGGAATAAGTACTAATGAAGTCAATGCGAATGTCTTGTTCTGTTCAATACAGTTAGCAGAAAACTGTGAAAGCTACTGAATACTTTGTTATTTTAATAGTCATTTACATCTTAATGATTTTTTTCCCAGTTGATATTCTACTAATGTGTTGGTATTTAAAATACTAAGGGACCTTTGACTATGCTCAATGAGAACTATCACAGTTGAAGTCCAAGGCAACCAGGTGGCAGAAGGTCCCTTTAATCCACTTGGAGTTAAACCTATTATAAAAACCCTACCAATTTATTGCAAATCATCTTCTGTGCTCAAGAGGAAACACTTGGGGTCCCATCCCTGCAAGAATTGAAGCTGATATGGAACCAATGGAACATCTTGCTTCTGGAGAAATGCCTAGCACCTCCCTGTTGGTCTTCTATAAGATAGAAAAGACACTTAAAAAAAAAAGACAGCTGCAAGTGGATTGCTATGGGGCATTTGGTGACTGGGAGGCCATACTTATCTCTTATTGTAAGCTGCCAGGTGTTGTCAGAGTTAGGCAATCTAGAAACACTTGCAATAAATAAGTAAAAATGTAAATAAAGACTAGAATCCCAGAAAATCTAGCTGATATCTTTTGATTACTCCATAGATCAGCCTTCTCACCTTTTCCAATCCCCCTGTTTGGGTTAACCTCTTTCCTATCAGAATAAACCAAGTCATCCTCTAAAGCAGTGTTCCTCAATCTTAGCAACTTTAAGATGTGCGGACTTCAACTCCCAGAATTCCCCAGCCAGCATGCTGGCTGGGGAGTTCTGGGAGTTGAAGTCCGCACATCTTAAAGCTGCCAAGGTTGAGAAGCCCTGCTGTAAAGAGTAGTATTTCATTTCCTTCTCCCACCAAGTGCCGATTGTGACAAATCACAGTATCATGGCTGAGCCTCCTCTTTAGGAAGCTGGGATACAGCATGTTTTAAAACACTGTCAGTTCTGACCAAACCATCATATCCACAAATGAGACAATCTATCTGGACTCGAGCTCCTGCACCCAGCTTCAGATGACCATCTAGGGAATGCCCAGATCAACCTTTTCTGGAAGACACTCCCACTTCAGAGAGCAGACTTCTTAATGCCAATCTTGAAAGAATATTCTTCATATTTTGCAACCAGTTCTAATCCTCCTCCTCCGGTGGGGGTGGAGGGAGAGAACATAATAAACGCACTCTAAAAATTCCCCAGCCACCATCTCTTTGCCAGCTGATGCCCTTAAAACCATCTTGGAGTCTCGAATCGCTATCGAGGCAGGTACGCCCCGAAAAACGATTCAACTGCAGCATCTTTCTCCGGGGCTTGAAGGGCAGAGAAAAGGGAGGGAGGGAGGGAGAAAGGAAGAGCAGGGCATCACCCACAGAGAGCCAAACGCAACCCGGTGGTCGGGCTGGCATTACCTTGCGCAAGGATTATCCTAGGCTGTCTCGCTGCTTTGGGAGCCTTTGCGCAGGGCTGAGATAACCAGGAGGCGCTCAGAGAGGGAGCCGAGGGAGGCTGCGGCTAGGCGGTGCCAGCTGTTCCTGCTGGGAAGAGGATGCTCGCCTGGCTCCTCGCTGTCACCGACAGCGTAGAGGCTGATACCACGGCTGCTGCGACGGCCGCCTCTTCCAGAAATGTGCTGCCTCACGCCGGCCAGGCTCCGCCCCGCCCCGCCGCGGCCGCTTCCCTCCCACCTCGGTTCTGGCTCAGGCGGCTCTTCCCCCTCCCACGACCCTACGACTCCAGGTCGGAGAGGGCCAAAACAACGCAGCCCGCAGCTAGCCATTGGCCAGTAGGGAGGGGGCCGCCAGGCCTTGGCCTATGGGCGTAAGCAGAGATGTTTGCAGGAAGAAGAGAGCTTTGTGGCTTCTCTGAGTTGCAGGTTTAGGGTGCTGTCCACGTGCTGCAGACAGCTTGGTTTATTCGGGAATCTCCTTGATTCATTCGTGTTACTTGATGGGCGATCCAGACACCCCATCTTCCATATGTAGCTCTGTAGTGTTTTTCCAATGTACGGTATCATCCCTCTTTCTTCTCTTATAGGTGCCGCGACATTCTATGGGGAAGTGGCAACAAAAGCCCTGTACACACCATTGCAATCTTCAAACTCTTAAAAACTTCGTTTTAAGCCAGCCCAAGATCATTTTAACTGCCATTGACCTCAGAAAGCTGAGAACCCCACATGTCAATCAATGCTTCCTCCAGCAAGCTAAGTTTGTATCCATTATAGACATTGAGTCAATGGCAGGAACACACACACACACCCCTTAGGTTGTGCACTCAACATTATGACTTCGACATAAAAATGTACGTATTAAAAACTTGTAATTGTGTTAGTTTGACAATCCACGCATGTGGGGGTATGAGAATGCAACAGCCAGTTACATCTCCTGGTGCAGTGCAAGGTATCGTTATCTGGACAGGAAGGCCAAGCACCTTAGCTATGGTGCACAAAGTGTGACCAAGTAGAAATCAGGCGTCTTCTGCTCCAACTGGTGCTGGCATGGGATACCAGTGGGATCCATGGCTGTGTGGACTTGATCAAACACAGAGGTTTATTAACATATTAAAGACCAATACATTTATTATTGCATAAGCTTCTTATATACTTTATCAATCTGAATAAAGGTATGGGTGTATTACATCTATAATATATAATGTATTGACTGTTAATCTGGATCTTGGGAGAAATATGAAAGAAAGTTTTAAATTCAATATTCTGAAATATTTTTAATATATGTCCCATCTGATCAGCATGTAAAACTGAATTTATTAAAATATATAAATCTAATCGATTCCAGGCTTACATCATACCATTGAGAAAAAAGGTCTTGTCAAAAACTGCTTGATTGTACTAAATGTTGACATGGATTTATATTACCTATGACTTTCTGATAGTGGTATAGAATGTACATGGTGATTTTATTACTGTATTATAGGACTTAGCAGTTGATTTTGTTAGTGGTTCCTTAATTAATGTAATTAATTAATAGCCTAATTGGTTACCCAGGTAAATGGCAGCACCTGATTCATTTTGGCTGATCTTGAAAAATTAAGCAAGATTGGTTAATACTTTGTTGGGAGACACCACCACCCCCATCCCAGATTTCTCTGAGTTATAGGATAGATAGGGAAGTAAAAAAGAAAATACAGTGGTACCTCGG